ATGACAACAAGCCTGAAAAAAAATTGCAAAACTATTTAAAAATACACAGGTAAAAATGTTAGAAATAAATAAAATTCTATTTAACTTTTTGTCAAAGTGTAGCAGAGAACATGAGGCCCACTTAGAGCAGCATAAGCATGCCTAAAGGTAAAATCTAAAAGTTTCTATTATAAAAGCACTGCCACAGGTCTCTCACCTCTGCAAAGCTTGTGAAATTCTGCTGTCTCAGAAGGTTTGTCAGAGCTTAGATTTAAAAACACACACAAACAAACAAAGAAACTTGGTAAAGCATTTCAAATAAAAGGAAAAATAAAACAAACATAGAACAATGTTTACTGAAGGTAAAACAAGGCCACATGGAAGCAAAGTTTTTTGTAGCAACTCAGCATAACCAGGATGTCCTTCCAGTCAAGGAGGTAAAATGTCCAACACTCCTTTGTTTATTTCCACATTTCTAGAGACACAACGCACCTCTACAAGAAGGTCATGGGCTGAAGGCTAAATAAATACCTGTGCTCACTCCCTGCCACCAGGGAAACCTTTAAGAGTTTGGCAGATTTGTTTAAATAAAATCAGTTTACACAGAAATACATGACTGGAATACAGCACTTGGCTCATGTTGAAATGAAGAGCCTGAAACATGCAGTGGCATCAAATACCTCTTTCTTATGTAGTGTTTGGGAAACTGCTTAGAGAACATTTCACAAAGGTTAATTTCAGTCTAAATGTGCAGATTCTTCCTCAGAAGCAGCCACTGGAGACAGGCTCCCCCACATCAGCCCTCATAACTATCTCTGTAAAATTCTGAAGTGAGAATTCACACACATCTATTTTTAAATAAAAGCAAATCCTATTTTGTGTAAGTTCAAGACACAGTTCTACCAGGAAAAACAAATGAACCATTTAAATAAGTCACATTTGTTCTCCTGAGTTATTTGTGGCAATAAACTCTAAAGAGTTGGATTCACCAGAACTGGAGCCCAGATACTCTTCTCAGTTCTCACACACCACTGCACCCCAACTTCCAGCCCTGCCAAACCCAGCACACTCAGATGGGGGCTGACTTTTTAAATGAGACATTCAATTACATTGTAAACTTGCATTTCACACAAAAATGATCCGTAGAGAAAGCAAGAAATCAAAATCAATCAAAACCAAAAAGCTTCCTTAAAACTCACACAAATATTCCCAAGGGAGAGCTGATCTTGTCTGAGGGCAGGGGGATGAACACAGCAACAACGACAGACCTTTCCAGTCCTGCTTTCAATTATTTTCCACAAATCTTTCTCCTTTTCAGGCACTCCTTTACACCCAGGAGTCCACGCTAGGCTTAGGATTTGGTTCTAATACAGAAGTGAATACAGCCCATTTGTGTTTCCTAAGGCACAGCAGTGAGAAGTGCCGTGTGAGCACACAGAGCCCTGCAGTCAGTGAGCAGCACAGCAGCACAGCCCTGCGGGGCTGGGGCAGCCTCACCTCTCAGCAGTAAGATTGTTCTACTCGGCACCAAAACAACACATGTTCCTTCCCACAGAGGTGTATTTTTAACAGATGAAACTTATCCACACTGCAGTTTCAAAGTACAAACTCTGGTAAACAGTGCATGAAAGTGCCAAGCTCAGGGTTAACACAGCACCCCCAGTCTGTCTCAGCAGCCACAGCACACTGCTGACTCAGCTGCATTTTCACACTCGTTATCTCTCACACAATGCACAGGCAAAGGAATTAACATCCTTCAAAACCAAATCAAAATTCTCTTCCCAGCAAGTAAATAACACAGGCTTAACAAGGATCTACGTGCAAAGCCAAGATCCACACCATGGAGTGCATTAAGTGCTATGGAACACGTTTTAAAGAAGTATTTTAGGGATTTTTTAACTTTCAGATATTATATTGTCTTAACGTTCCTCAGCCAAAGTAGTTTCTGTGATAGGGGAATCAGTAAGAATTAAACCCTCTGCAAATACAAGGAAAAAGAGTTGTATAAAATTCTCTATGTTTGGAACACAGTTTCACAAGTTACAGACATGGAAAAATATCAGAAAACAACCTGATTTATTTGCAGTCTGTGAAAAAAAAATTCTGTCACCCAGTTCTCCAAAGCATTCAACATTTCTAGTGAAGAGAATAAAATAGCAGAAATACAACTATTTCAAGAAACAATCACAAATCTTGAAATCTTAAAACCAACTTAAATTATGGATCCAAAGTAGGTTGATTCATTCAAGCCATCTGCTCTTTTATTGACATGAGAAAAAACCCCAAATAAATAGGAGTATTCAGAGCATGTTTATCTGATTTCTCCCACTTTTCCAAGTCCCACAGATACCTGCTCCCCATAGGTCAAAGGAGACAATAATGTAAATTTTGCTCTTCTTCAAAAACAAACAAACAAAAAAACCCTAACCCAAACCTATTATAAACCAGTATCAGTATTAATATTGCATATGCACATTGTTACATTACAGTCCTTCTATCATATGCAAAATAATGCTAAAAAATGTGTGTTTATAGAGATATTTTCTTCAGAGGCAGAAGAACCACTGTTTACACATGCAGAATGAAAAGAGCTACAATGCACACATTTGTGCTTTTCAGTACTTAAGCCAATGCATTCAAGCAGAGCATGTTTGGGATTGTAAATGTGTCAAGATAACCCAAACAACACTGGCAGCAATTCTTTACCCATTGTATTGCCATCAAACGTGATTGTTATTTTACTTGGACAAAAAACATAATATACACACAGCAAAAAAACATTTTTATCTCACCTATATATACTATGTGTTTATCATAAAATGTTAGAATTAATATAGAGAACTCAAAGACAGTTGACACCTCCAGAAGGAATTAAAATGCAGGTTCTTGGGATAACTCCTATGCCAGTTTGCTCTTCCTTCCAACACAGTAATTTAAATAAATTTACATTAAGCACTGATATTCCTGAAAAGGTTTAAAAACAATTTAGACAATTACAGTGGAGTAATTCTTTCACAAAAAATCCCCAAAACAAACAAAACCAAACCTCTGGACTTGGGGACAAACCAGACAGTAGATGGTATTACCTTTAGATTGGACAGCCAAGTTCACAAAATAATTCTGCCCAAAATCTTTCAGTCTGGTATAAATACAAATGTTACATTTTTAAGGTTATGTTTTAATTTCTTTCAGTACCTGCAGATGCTATAAAGCATCAGGTTGGCTATTTCTGTATCAGTATGACTCTTCTACTAAAGAGACAACTTTTAGACATTTTCTACAGTGGACATTCCTAAAGAATGCAGAATGCAACTGAGAGTATTCAAGCACAAAGCTGTGAAAAACAACGAATAAGAGTAAATATTGCCTGATTTAGCCCTGCTGTAACTCTAAGGAAAGCAGAGAGAACTCCATTAGCCCTGCAATGGGATGTGAGGCAGCACCATCTCAATGAAATCATGCTCATCAGTGCAAACCCACTTCCAACACCACCACAGTGCAAACCACTGTCCCCCATTCTGTGTCCTCAGGAAAAAACGTCCCATATAGTGTTGAGCACAAGAGTCACCCTATTTCTGAACTTCCCTTGCAGAAGGGAATATTTTACAAAAAGATGTGTCTCTGGCTATGTCGTTTCAGCAGCTCCCAAAGCAGAAAAGGGCAGGATTTACCCCCCGAGCATTTACTCTCAAACCTCAGGCCACCTGTCATGAGGGATCTCAACACACCAGAGGCACCACACTGCTTCACAAGACAGAATCTTGTCCCCTTGCAGTTAATTTTGCTTAAAAATCATAAATGTGTGGTGTTTGTTCCCTCTGTGCAAAAGAGATCAGGAAATGCCTCTGGGATGAACTCATCACCAGCTCTGGGATCAGCGTAGTGGGATCTGCCACCTCCTTTGGGAAGTTTTAGATATTATGGGGATGATAATGCCAAGCTCAAGGGTTCCATCCTTGGGTAGCCACTTTATCAAAATACAAATTTGATGGTTTTGGTGGGGCCCTTCTAACTCAGAAGTGCAGCATAACAAAGTCTGACTCAAGGTCTTGTAGCAGCAACCATCAGTGCTCATCACAAATGGCTACCCACACATCATCTCTTCCCCTGCCATGACTAAGTATCACTAGAAGGCTATCTCATGAGTAACAAGTGAATAACTGTTCCCCCAGGGGCCCGCCGAGGGCTGGGACTCTGCCCTGGGAACAGCAGAGGTGCGGCCATGCCTCACCTGGCACCGTCCCGTGTCGCCGTGGGCTGTCCCCAGCTGTGCTGAGGCCGTGTCCCGCTGGGTTGCGGCTGAGTCCCGCTGAGGGGCTGGCCCCGGGCCGGCGCAGCCCCGCTGAGGGAACGGGCCCGGGCTCCCCCTCACGGAACCTTCACCCCCGGCCCGCCAGGGGGCGGCCGCGGCCGCTCCTGGGAGGGAGCGAACTCATCACCAGCTCTGGGATCAGCGTAGTGGGATCTGCCACCTCCTTTGGGAATAGCCCAGTGGGCAGCGGATGGGGCTGATAATGCCAAGCTCAAGGGTTCCATCCTTGGGTAGCCACTTTATCAAAATACAAATTTGATGGTTTTGGTGGGGCCCTTCTAACTCAGAAGTGCAGCATAACAAAGTCTGACTCAAGGTCTTGTAGCAGCAACCATCAGTGCTCATCACAAATGGCTACCCACACATCATCTCTTCCCCTGCCATGACTAAGTATCACTAGAAGGCTATCTCATGAGTAACAAGTGAATAACTGTTCCCCCAGGGGCCCGCCGAGGGCTGGGACTCTGCCCTGGGAACAGCAGAGGTGCGGCCATGCCTCACCTGGCACCGTCCCGTGTCGCCGTGGGCTGTCCCCAGCTGTGCTGAGGCCGTGTCCGGCTGGGTTGCGGCTGTGTCCCGCTGAGGGACCGGCCCCGGGCCGGCGCAGCCCCGCTGAGGGAACGGGCCCGAGCTCCCCCTCACGGAACCTTCACCCCCGGCCCGCCAGGGGGCGGCCGCGGCCGCTCCTGGGAGGGAGCCGAGTGAGCGCCTTGGAGCGTTGGCGCCGCTCCGCTTCCCTTGGATGACGTAGATCCTCTGTGGAGGGCCATGGCGAGTGATTTCTACCTCCGCTACTACGTGGGGCACAAGGGGAAATTCGGACACGAGTTCCTCGAGTTCGAATTCCGGCCTGACGGTGAGAGCGGGCCGGGGGCCCGGGGGCGGTGTGCCGCGCTCCGGGGGGCGGGCTGCCGGGCCGCGGGACCCCCGGCGGGGTTTAATGCGCAGCCTCTCCCCACAGGGAAGCTGCGCTACGCCAACAACAGCAACTACAAGAACGATGTGATGATCCGAAAGGAGGTGAGGGCAGCGCGGCCGAGGGCGTCTGTGCCAGCCAGAGGGACTGTGGGCAGGGCTCGGGGTTGGATGGCGTTGCCGGGGCGCTGTGGGCAGGGCTGTATTTATTTCTCTGCCGGAATGTTGTGTCCAGGCTTATGTGCACAAGAGTGTGATGGAGGAGCTGAAGAGAATAATCGACGACAGTGAAATCACAAAAGAAGATGATGCTCTGTGGCCTCCTCCTGACAGAGTGGGCCGACAGGTACGGTGCATAGTGTCTCTTCTAATTGTCTCTTCTAATTTTCCTATGTTAACTCCTTGGAAGCATAACTAAACTTTTTCTTCAAGGCAGTATTTTTTTCCAGCTGAAAGGAAAAAAAATACTGCTTTAAAACCTGAGTAATGCCTCAGTGGTAGTGTAGTTGTGGAAGCTAATACAATCCACAGACCTGCTGCATTTGATATCTCTGTAATAGAAATTTGTAATAAGAACCATCACATACTGAAATATTTCTGTCACTGCTACCATGAAGCAGTGAGTTCCTATAACCTTTTATTTTTCAGGAGCTCGAGATAGTAATTGGTGATGAGCACATCTCCTTTACCACGTCAAAAATCGGTTCCCTCATTGATGTAAATCAGTCCAAGTACGTACTCTGCTTTTTATGCTGCCCTTGTTTCTATTTACCAATCTGTATTAGAACTTTCTTGTTATTTGGTTATTTTATATCATTTAAAGTACGAGTCAGCTCCAGTGCTCTGTGTTGCAGCACAATGTGCCAGATGCCTTTAGTCTGTGGCGTTACAGGCTGTGTTCCCAAACTCTGAGAGCACACCCTGCTGCAGGAGCCCTGTTACACACACAGAGTCTGAGCTGCCATTGGCCTGTTTGTGCCTCTTTCTTTGGGAGAATCAAGATATCTGTATTTCACCTAAGCTGAAAAGAGTGACTGTTGTGGGGAAGGGGCGGTGGGGGGTAAAATCCTGAGTGCTGTTGATACTTGTTTTCATGACAAAAATGTATATTTTGTAAAAACTTAAAATGTTCACAGTTGGAGTACAGAATATTTAATCAGTCAGTGTAGAATGAAACAAATCTGTTAATGTCTAAGATGACATCTAAAAAGTCCCCATATAGGCTTTAGGGTTTTTTTAATATATTGGTTCCGTAACCTGTCCTTTAAGAGCATCAGTCTAACATTTTTTTAAATATTTTAATTTTTTTTTTTTCCTCTTTCTTCCTTCTGTTGTGAACTGCAGAGATCCAGAAGGCTTGAGAGTATTCTACTACCTGGTCCAAGACCTTAAATGTCTCGTCTTCAGTCTTATTGGACTCCACTTCAAGATTAAGCCAATTTAAATCAGACAAACTGAAGTTTGTGTTGCAATGTTAGCAGTAGAGATGGGAAGGGAGGATCCTGTTCCAGTTCTTCATTGTTTCGGAAAGGTTTTTGTACTTTAGATTATTTTTTTGATTGTTATTTTGTTGTTGTTACAAACTGTCAGTGACTCAATAAAAGGGTAAGATTTGCGTTTTTAATTTTTAAGCTGTGGTGAGAGACTGGCTTCTAATACTTTTTTTTTTATAACGGAGCATTCAGAGTGTGTCACTTCACTTGCAGCACCACACACTGCACTTCTCTACACAGCAGTGGAAAAAGGAATGAAGTCTGGCTCTGTGAAACGAAACTTTTGCCAGTTGTCAAGGCAAACTTTTGTTACTGTCCTGAGCTGGGTGTTCTGTTGGCCAGCCAAGGACAACATTTGACTCTGCACAGGTAAATGGTTATAGCAGACACACGTCACCTTCCTCCCAGCCCGGGGTTACCCGCTTGCCTCCAGAGCAGACAAACTACAGGCCACCCAGGAGCCATCCAGGATCTTCACTGACTGTCCCGTTCAGCTTCAGAGAAGCTGAAAAACAACCTAGAATGTATTTAGCTTAGTTCTAGGCTAGCAGATCTGTTGTGCAGCATTCGTTAAAAGATTTTTGAGGGGTCCCCCACAGGCCCTGAGGGTGTACACCATGGCAGTGCTGCAAACCACGCTTTTGCTTCCTCTTAAGACGTCTGGTCTGTAAGAAGACACTGCCGACTTAAAAATTTAAAAAAAGTGATTAACTGATGTGCAATGTTGAAAACAGTGCCTCCCGCTTTTCCTCCCCTCCCCACAGGCACCTCCCGCTCCCTGCGCGCTGGGTAGTGGCGGCCGCCATCTTGGCTGAGGGCAGACGCGGCTTCGCGCCGGCCCAGCCGGGCAGGGAGCGTGGAGCCGCCATCTTGGCTGAGGGCACGGGTGCGGGGAGCAGGGAACGGCACAGAATCCGTGCGGCCATGGGGGTAGGTGAGAGCCTCGGCCGGAGCCCCGCGGGCCGTGGCGGTAGCGGGAGCCTCGGCCGGAGCCCCGCGGGCCGTGGCGGTAGCGGGCAGCCTCGGCCGGAGCCCCGCGGGCCGTGGCGGTAGCGGGAGCCTCTAGCGGGAGCCTCGGCCGGAGCCCCGCGGGCCGTGGCGGTAGCGGGAGCCTTGCCCGGAGCTCCGCGGGCCGTGGCGGTAGCGGGAGCCGGGCCGGCCGGGGCTGACGGCGCTCCGCCGCTTGCCTTGCAGAGGATCGGGCTGCAGCTCCGCGCCACGCTGGAGAACATCACCCGGCTGCGGGCCGAGGGCGAGGACTTCCGATGGTACCTCAAGGTGCGGGGCCGGGAGCGGGGCCGGGAGCGGCGCGTGTCCCTCATTACTGACAGCTTTCAAACTCCCGATTTGTGTTCTCCAGCTGAAATGTGGGAACTGCGGTGAAGTCTCCGAAAAGTGGCAGTACCTGCGGCTGATGGTGCGTGTGCCCCTCGTAACCTACCTCTGAGCAAAAATGAGAACGCAAACCTGCCTCTTACACGCCTATCCGCACCAAGGATGTGACAGCTTACCCTCTAGATGAGATCGTTTTTTAATAGCTATATGCATTTAGAAAATTGTCATGTTCCATATTAAAATAAATATTTGGAGACTGTTAATTGACAGATGCCATTTGAATGGTGACTGTTGCTAACAAAGTATTACATCTTTTAAAAACATTTCTGTGAATACGTATTTCTCTGTAGCCTATTTCTCTGATGCTGATGGAATCCTTTTGGAGAAGGTTAGGTAAATCAAGATTATTTAAGCATGCTAAATCAGCATTTGGAAGCTGAAAAAGCAGGATAAAATTTGTCAGGGATACTTGCCTGTTCTTAGCAATAATCATCCCTTTTTGCTGCATACAGCTGAATGGTAAGAATGTATTTTAAAGAATTAGTAGAGTGTGTCTGTATGGATAAGACACAAGTATCTATTATTCCCTCTTTGAAGTCTAGAAGAGAAATATTCTTTGATAATCTCAGCTTGTTGAATTATTATTCTCTGTCGTTAAGAAAAACGCTGCCTTGTTGCAGTATTTTTCAAAAGCTAAAGGTTGTAAGAACTACCTTACCTTTGCAGAGGTCTCCAGAGGCTGAGCTGAAGTGGTTAAAAATGTCTCTCTTGCCATGGATTCTAGGACAGTGCTCCCCTGAAAGGCGGCCGAGGAAGCGCCACGATGGTGCAGAAGTGCAAGCTGTGCTCCAGGGAGAACTCCATCGGTACGTGCTTGGACACTGACCGGGCATCATCCATTTCACAGTTTCTCTTTTAGTCCCCATTTTTGCTTGACACCTTTTGTAAAGAGCTTTCACCAGGGATTTCTGCCCTTGTGCACTGGTGCTTGAGTTCCCAACAGGCACAGTCTGGACATCCCGTTCAGGGAGACAGCAAGGCCTCCTGGTGAGTCCAGCCTTCTGCATGAACAAAACTCATCTGAATCCTTATTTTACAAAAGCATGCAAATCTTTTTGGCATTGGTATGGGAAAATGGTGCAGTGTAAACTTCTCAGGAGAAGGGAGAAAAATTGAATTCTACGTTTTGGAGAGAAAAGCTGTAGGGAAAACCTTGCACTTCTTGCATTTCATTTGCTTTGTATAAGGAAATTGCTGTGAAAGAAGATCCTGGTGCTTGGTTTGTGCTAAATAAAACTGAAGACATAGTGCCACTTACTTGTATACTTTTTTTTTTTGTTTTAGATATTTTAAGTCAGACAATCAAGCCTTACAATGTAAGTTTGTTTCCTCTTCTATGTAACAAGTGAAAGATAAACAAGCATTAAGAGTATTCTGAGGTTTTGCTTTATCACCCTCCTTCAAGAACACCAAAAGCTGGTCTTGTCCCTGGACAGAAACTGTCTTGTAGACTTCTTTACAGCATCAAGTGTAGACTAATTTGATACATTTCAAAAGCCAACGTAGAACTGTATCACTCAAATTAGAGTTGATTATATAAGTCCCCTCCAGGTTTCCTTTTGAAGCCTTCCTGGCAGATTAAGAAATTCTAGTTAGTGACCACCCCTGAAATGAGCCCTAGGATTCTGCTGTCACCAGGGGCATCAGAGATGACAGTGCTGCCTTTGGAGCAATCCATTCCTAGACTAATGCTTGTCACTGTCTCTATTAGATGGAAACTAATGGTTTTCTGACTCAATCACAGGCTGAAGACAGCGAGAAATTCAAAACAATTGTGGAGTTTGAATGCCGAGGTCTGGAACCAGTTGACTTTCAACCACAGGTGAGTTCTTATTTGTGATTTGTTTCTGTTTTTAAAAGCACTTCTTCCAGAATGATAAACACTATTTGAAATGGTTCTGGAACATCTCAGACCTTCCCAGATTCCCATCCTTCCTCAATTCCTGTTTTACTTCATTTGACTCAAGAAAAAAACCAAACCAAACCAAAAACTTGCCAAGAGCTAACACAAACAACTGGTATTCTCTGTGCCAGTAAAATCTAGAGCTAAGCACACCCTGGAGTTGTACTTAACCTGCTTCCCAGGTGACTCAGTGTTAATCTGAATTCATCTGAGAGGTCTTCACTGCTCAGGTCATTGCCAAAGACAGTCTTTCCCAAAGGGAAAGTGCAGCATTAGGCAGAGCACCACTTGCCCCTTGCTGCATTACAGAGCTCATCAAGCTCAGTTATGAACACCTCAGTGTCCTCTAAAAAACAAAGAGATTTTCTTTGGGGTTGACATCACCAGAGCCAAAGGAGATGAACACTGGCATTTTTCCATTTGCAGCTTGAGCAGACAAAGCCTGAAGATCACTGGCAGTTCCAGGCTGGTGCAAAGCACACCTGAAGGTTCAGAGTGAAAGGATTCTTCAGGGCCAGTCTGCAGTGACTCATCTCTTGTGCATGGTCATGCTCTATGCCACTTAACTCCCTGCTATTTTTAACCTATTATTCCAGTCGGATTAGGTGTAAATAGACTGACAAATATAAACCTGTCTTATCCTTCTCTCAGACTGGGATGCTGTGCTAAGAAACAGCCCAAAAAAGCTGATCCTACAAAGAATTTGATATAAATAGAATCCCTGCTGCAATGTGCTGGGGGAGGTTTTATTTAAGTGAAGTCCATCTTTTTGATGAATGGTTATTCCTTTATTCCATAATGGTTATTAGTTTATTCCTGCTTGAAAGCTTTGCAACCAGACTTAGGAACTTGCACTTCAAGAAAAGTCTAGAGGAAGACTATAAAATGTAGGAGATCTTTATAGCTCTGCATCCTAGCTGTCAATTTTATTTACAGAACAAATACTTCACAGCTGTAACAAAAGTTTTAATTTAATATTCTGAGTTTGGTGCACTTGACTTGAGAGTACTTGAATCCCTGAAGAGATAGTTCAGTGAATTTTTGGATGCCTAAATCAGTAAATGAGAGTTTTCTGATGCTCAAGTGACTTCTGCAGTTCCAAACAATTTTGTCAACTGCTTTATATTTGGCATGATCCCAGCCAGCCTGGCTTCTGCACAAGCCTAAATCTCACTTTTGATTAGCACTGAACATGGCATGTGGCCATATAATCACTGTATTTTTGCTGTATTTTTTGGTACACATAACACAACCACACCTGGAGTCATTTTAAAGTCAATTTTATAACTACTATAATTTAAATAAGACATGCAAGCTTAATGCTTGCATGTCTTATTTAAATTATAGTAGTTATAAAAAAAAAAACCCCAACAAACCCAACCACCACCACAAAACATTTGAGTGTTAGAGAGGAGAAAGTATCCTTTGTTTCCCTGATATAAACCCTCATTTTAGTCCTAGGGCAGAAGTTCCAATTGCAGTCACAGGGCTGGGGAATGGCTCCAGGTGGCAAAAGCAGGGCTTCTCTGATTTTTCTGGTGTTTGTTCTATACTCAGCTCAGTTTTGACCCACAATACAGATCATCCTCTCCACCCCAGCAGTTCCCTTGACATGGGCTTTACTGAAAGGCCACTGTGCCCTGCAGATCCCTCTCCTGTTGTTAGATTTGTTAGATCTTCCACACTCTGTGGTTTACTTAACTCCCAAGTGCTTAACCTTCCATTCAAATCCCCAAATATTTTGAAGTCTTGTGGCTTACTTTGCACATTCTTGCAGCTAAATGTCTAACTAGCACTAGCAGAGATTTCTTTATCCAAAATGCAAGTGTAGATCCCTTACAGAAAACCAGGAAGAAGCTACCTTTGATTTTTAGCCAGTTGTTAATAAAATTCTGTAGTTAGAATTGACAGTGTAAGAAGCCTTCCTGCATGCTACAGAAGTGGCTGGGATTTTTAAATGTACTTTTAAAATTAGTAAATCTTACTGTACAGCTTGGAAACTGTGAACCCTAAAGTGAGAGAGGCGTTCCTATGGAAGATAAACCACAGCACCTTCCTAGAGCTGTCCTTCCTCCACTCTTTAGAAACAGCAACAGTGATGGCAGTGAAGAACTGGCCCCTGTGAAGTGCTTGTTTGGGATACTAATCTGTTCACTCAGCCAGCTGATCCTCCTTACACATAAAGCTTGCTTGTCACTTGTGTACCTAAATCCAACACAAGCTGCTCCTTCTCTAGAGTGTCTTGGACTCCAGCATTCAAGCCAGAACCATCAGCTTTCTTCCACATTTTCAATTACTTTCCTTGCAATGTATTATGAAGCTATTATGCCTGTGTGGACTCTGAACACAAAGCCATTAATAGTAATTGGATGGTGCTACATAAACGTAGAAACTAAGCTTTAACATTGTCTAGAATAGTTAGAAATACTTTTTTTTTTTTTTTCTGGGAAAAATAGAGGAGCAGTGTTCCCTGATTTTACTTGGTTCCTTGGATTGAATTTTCCCAGTGTACAAGCAGGATCCCAACCTTATACTGACCCCTGTCTAGGAAAGAGTTTGCCCATTCTTTCTGCCTAATTTAAAAGAAATACAATACATTTTTGTGCTGAGCTACCTTCTTTGGATGTTTCAATGATCATATTTATTATTTTGTCAGTACAATGTAATTTAAAAAACTTTCTGCAAATGTGTTTGCAGGCAGGGTTTGCTGCTGAAGGCGCAGAATCTGGCACACCTTTCAATGACATAAACTTGTTAGAAAAGGTATGTTGTCTTAGTTTCACTAGCAAAACTACTTACCTAGCTTGCTTTCCCCATGTCACTGCTCCAAAATACACACCCTAGACCAGTTTTGCTCTTCCTGTAGCCACAGGAAGGCCACAGATGGAGAGAGAAACTGAATCAAGTATGAACAACTAGCATTACTAACAGTGTCCTTTTAGAAGTATGGATTTGTTAACTTAGCAGCTGACAAAGATTTAAGTCACTCAGTAATTCCAGAGACCAAGAACGTGGAATACTAAAAGGCTGTCTAGGAAGATCCCTGCCCACTGTCCTGTGCACAGAGAGGTTAAAAAGTAATATAGACACTGTCCTTCAAAGCTCAGGATAATGACACCAGCACTGCAAATCTTCTTGGGTGTGAGCAGGAATCTCAAGGTCACATCTGTTCCCTGGTATCCTACTTGGCAGGGATCTGCTTGTCTGCTTACCCACCTGACCAGGGTATTGTAAATGACAGATAATCCTTTCACCTGCCATGGCTGCTGTTTGTCCACTACAGGCTGGGAACTACATAAGAAAATAAACCCCAGCAATATACATGTATAAAAACACTGAGACTGAAGCTCATTTTATTTCAGGTTAGTGATCTTGCTACTCTCACCTGTTAAAATTTTAACTTTCTACAGATATCTAAGACCCAGACTTTGAGTAACATTTAGTGCCAGCCTGAATTCCAGTCTGTGTGCATTCTGTTCTCTGTGACTAACACTGTGAAATCTTATTTCCTACAGGATTGGAATGACTATGATGAAAAAACAAAGGAATCTGTTGGAATCTATGAAGTTACCCATAAATTTGTAAAATGCTGAGGTTCATACCCCTAACAAGTTATGACATGGTTGTTGATGGAGGAGCTCTAAACATCAGATACGCAGCTTCCTTGGAGTTACTGTTTTACATGGCCACACTTCAGAAATGGAAACCTAAGTTCACAGAATCATTTAGGTTGGAAATGATCTCCAAGATGGAGTTCAACCTTTGACCGACATCACTGAGTTGTACTTTCTGTCCCCAGCATGCCCTAATAAAGTATTTCCCATGGAGCACTTGGAGATGGCCTCAGTACAAACTGTAAATAGTACACATTGACTGAGCTGTGCCACGGCCTTGATGCTGTGGGGCTTGGGAATTACATGGTTGTGGTGGACTGTAGCTTAGCTAATGGACTGAGCAACTGCTTACACAACTTACAGCCTTAAAGGTTTTCATAGTTGGTCACCAGGAAGTACCTACATTTGATTGTCTAACACAAGCAAATAAAGTCTTCCCACTCCTATCATGAGGAAATGGCTACCAGCACTAGTAAAGGCACTGTGTTAACTCTTCAAGGGAACAGCTACACCTTTAAGCAGATTTCTGCCACTTCAGGTAAAGACTGAGGTGAGTTTCCTGAGAATACTTACTAAGCTTGACTGCTGCTGACTTTTACACAGTTACAGTCCTCTGAAAAGCTAGTTATCTTTCCAAATGTGTCATTAAGTAAAGCTCATTTTTGGGTGAAGACAGCCTTAGTACCTCTTGGCGAGTGCATTCACCATCTTGCCAGCTGTTCTCATGTTTCAAAACAAAACAAAAACACCCAACCAAACAAACCCAAAAATGAAAAGAAAAAAGCTCAGCCAGTCTTTAGTGAATTTTATTCAGACTTTTGGTCTGATAATTGTTTCCTGATATGTTATTTCCTGCATCTTCCCAAATTATCACCTTCCTTCTTTGTTTAAATGAACAAAAACAACCATGCTAAATTTTAAAGTCAAAGCCTTCAGGCTTACATATGAAAGGCTTTCACCTGCCAGCACTTGTATTTCATACTTCCAGGACAGGGTATTGCTTACACTTACTGTGCTAAATGAAAAAGACCCTAGGATAACCTGGAAACTGAGATACCCAAAGGAAGAGCAAAGGAAGTAGTTTCTGAGCCTCTCAACCTGATCTTTCACATCCAACCAATATGCTCAGACTTTCCTGTTCTGCTGATACATTTTGTTGTCCATGCCAGTGGGGCTCGAGCTGCATTAGTCTTACACAGATCACAGAAGCCAGCACCACTGTGCAATTCAGCTCCACAGAAAGACTTGGCCTCCCAGAGGAAAAAGAGTGGAAATCAAGAGGGTAAAAGGGAGGAATTCAAGATCTACATACCAGACAGGGTGCAGAATGTTTGCAGCAGTTTTCTTTCCAACCTTTGTAAGAAACGTGCTATTGACGAAGGGTCTCCCCGTGCTGTATGCTTTAGATATGGCAATAAAAGAACTTCGTGGTTATTAATAGGCAGCTTTATTAAAATTCAGTTGTTTCCAGTCAGTTTAACAACCTAGTTGGTGACTGCAGGTTTCTTAAAGCCTCCCACTTCATTTTTTGTGTCTCTAAAAGCTGTTATAGTGGAAAGGCTTCAAGCAGTTGAGGCACAATCAGTTCTGATATAAATTCAAGTTTAAAGAGATAAGTTAGTAAGCAAGCTTACTGCAAGAGTGCAAATGGAACCACTCTTCCATGTTTAAAATTATTGCATATATTTTTTTAAAACCAAACAGTTCAAGAGTGGTATCACAGTACTGTAGTCTGTCCGAACATTCACGGAACACAGATGTTCCAAGTTCATTAACTCAATAAAAATGCCTATTTTAGATTATGTGTTTTAAGAACACATGGATCTATTACTTAATTTGATGTAGCTAATGTCTGTATTTCCTGAAACGCATTCAAGGTCTGTAATTGATTTCTTTGAAATAGATAGAAATTTCCTAGTGAATTTAACAGTATTCAAGTTCAGTGATGACATATGAACCCAGTTAGGCTGGGCAATCTCATCCATGTTGAACACTGATTAGTATGTCAGACATAATCTGCATTTTGTTCTACAACTGTAAAGCGTTCCAATGTCTTAATGTCTAACTCCCAATTTTCTTGCCCTTTAAAACATTAAAGATATCTTCTAGTGACTTGTATATACACTGAAGGTATTCTTTACCATTCCTAGCTGGGTAAGAGGAAACATTACAACCTATCCAGTCATCTTGTACCTGATACCCTACTCCAAAGCCATCAGACACCACGGGGCCAAACCCTCCTAACTGCACAGCCGGGCTCACCAAGGTGCTGGTGGAAATGATGTTGTGATTGAGGCGAGCGTAGGCTTGGTCTTGATAGAATTCCGGCAGTGCCAGCCCCTTGGATAAGGCCAGGTAGCGCAGGCTGAAGAGGTGCCGGTCAAAGCCCTGGCCTGGAGAAAGAAAGTAACAGATGTGAGAGAGGTGCCTGACTTCTGTGGGAAGTAAACTCACCTCAGCCACAAAAGAGGAGGTCTGTAGAACTGGAGTGTATTTTTGTACTGATAGGAAATATTTTTCAGGTTTTTCATGCCCATGTCCTAGGAGAACAGGGCCTGCTTGTTTTACTGCAAGGCTCAACAGGAGCAGGAGAGTACAATCAGCATTAAAATTTTGAGTTGTAAATATTTACAGCAACCTTACCAGACATTTTAGTGCAAAAGGAGGAGCGTTTGATGCATTCCTACTTACCCATAGCAGCCTCTTTCGTCAAACGGCCGTGGTACTTGGAGCACTCCACTATCAGGTTCTGCAGCTCTTCAGTGCTGTGTTTGGAGAGTCCCTTGACAAAGGCTTCAGAGCATTTCTTTGTGTGGACAGAGGCAGGCCGTATGGTTTCTGTGCGGCCGTGCTTGAAAGCTGCAGTGCTGCAGGACTCGTACGTGGCAACAGTCTGGTCGTACTGGCGAAGGAAAGCCATCTGGAAGGCCAGCTGTGCCACAGCATCTGGGCTCACCTTCTTCTGTTTTAGCAGCTCCTTGCCCCCTTCTTGGAACTGAATCATGTTAAGAGACAGTGATTCTATAGTGGCTTCAAACTTCTGTTTGGCTTTGGTAATCCCTGCTTTTAAGGCATCGTTCAGCTTAAAGTCAAGTTTCTGCACTGCTCTGGAAGAGTCAACTGAAGCAGGCTGGGACTGGGGGCTGATGGCTGGTGTCGTGGTGCTATCTTTAAAAACCTCATTCTGGAACCTGAGCACAGCCACACCATCTCCCCAGGAATGTTCAAAATTAATCCCTGCAGTGCCATCCTTAGTTATGATAAGACTAAAGGATTTGTCATACCAGCGGTTTGCACCATCTCCATGCAACATAGTGTGGGACAAGTGCACTAAGTCTTTAATGGGAAAATCATCTAAACATAAACAAAACATAGCAGAGTCTACTTTTTGAAGAGCTTCTTCATTGCCATTGTCCAGTAGATTCTTCCTCAGCAATGCCCATGTATCTCGGTTTTCACTGGTGAGGTAGCCAAGAGGGAAGGCCGGGGCCGGACTGTTGTCACTAAGGATGTATTTCAAGTGCGCGTGTATTTCTGAGGGTTTCAGCATGTTTCCATCTCTATCAATAACATCAAACACATAAAAATTTCCATTTCTCAACACTAATAAATGTTTTGCTTTTTCATCTGTATAAAGCTCATCTTTGTCGAGCTTAGGAAGCCGTGTAGAATTGAAAAGCCTGAAGTACTGAGACATATCTAGGGGGTAAGCATTGACCATGTAGGCACCAAACCAAGAAATTGAAGAAGGCACAAAGCGGATAATTTTTTTAAAGATCTCAGTGTCACTTTTTTCTGGATTGAGGTGAAAAACCTCTGGCTCAAGGTAACCAGCCCTGAAGGTCTTCATAAAACGTATGGCAGAAACAGTCATGTTTGTAGCCCGTATGAGCTGATCGTTGTATTCCGATTTCGGATCAGGATTAAAAGACATAAATGGATTAAAATTCAAAAGAACAGGCTCACGTGCTTTGAGGTACATGTCAAACCAGGGACCTGAAAATTGAGAGTTCAGAAAGAGGTCAGAACATAAAAGCATCTTCCTGAGTCAGAAAAGAGGGTCATGTAGTCCAACAGTGATCATGAATCACACACAATGAAGCACCTTTAAACAAGACAAACATATGAAATAATTCACCCAAGGCTTCTCCCAACCCCCATTATGAAGAAGGATAGTGTTGGCTAATCATAAAAATACTGGGTTTGGAATAATCCATGTCAAGGGTGCCCATGTCATTAGTAACAAGGGCCAGCTCCCTGTTTTCTTTATGGCTCGATGATAAACCTTAACTCCCAGGACATGCAGTGCAGCTCCCCAGCTCTATTTTGGTGCATACTTACATTTGGAGTGGTTCATGCCTTTACCTACTCTTACACTATTAATTTCTGCAACTCTCTGTCACTGAGTGCATCTTGCTGAGGTTAGAAGGCTGAACCTTCTACCTGGACTGTCAGAAAGGCAATGGGCAGTTCCAGGGGCTAAGTTACAACTTTAATTACAGGTTCTTACAGGTAAGTAAGTAACACTCCTACAGTTTTAAAACCACATCTGTCATTAACACGTAGCCTTTTAAACCCAGACTTGAAAGTCCAGGGTGGAGACAACTCTACGTACTTTCAGAAACCAATTTCAAGTGGAACAGGTCTTTTATAAGGCATAAAGAAGAAAAATAACTGAGCAAAAAGCAATCCAGACCCCCCACCATTCACAAACAAAAAGCAGCATACTGGTTAGCACTGATGAACAACATAAAGCCACCACCAAGATGTTGTTCAAAGTGAATGGAAAGTGAAATACAACAAACCAAAGAGCAGTTTTTGTGAAATAATGTGGTATTTTCTGCAGACTGAGTGGCAGCAAACACCTTAACAGGCAGTCTGAACACACAGCAGGGACAGAAGTGCATTCACTGGGCAACATGGAAACTCCTACTTCCATAGGCATTTGACTATTTCCATCTCTGCTATCTAATACTTTCATGAGCAGACACTTGTACATGGAAGCAATACTAAAGCAGAATAATCAAAAGTAAGAATAATCTATACACATGCTCTCCCTCTCCTGATTTGTTTCTATTTATTCTCATTTTCCTATTACTGTCACTCCTTTTCTTTGGCTCCTTAAAAGAATATAGTTTTGTAGTTTTAAGGGCTTTTAAACCCCAGCTACTGACCACATCTGCCTCCCACATTTAGTTATATTCTGTGACCCCTCCACTCCCTCAAAGTTTAGTTTCTTGCTAAATAACATGGAATTATTTGGAAATGATTGCTTCAGTTTCCTTAAGGGAAGTGCTAGATAAGCTCCTCTTTAACCTAAACCTATAAACTCATGAAAAAATATCATTATTCTACTATCTATCTACCCAGAATTCGGATAGAATAGATGACATTAGATAATGAGCATTCTTCTTTCTACCAGCCTCTGAAATTGCTCAAATACAGCCACAGAGGGTGTTCACAGAAGGTTATTCCAAGCTTCTGGGCTACACTAAGTTTCAGCCTATAACACTTATGGCATCATGAGCAATTATGAAGTATGATGATCTACAGACTTGTCCTACACCCAGCAGGCCAACGTACCTGTGATGTAACTTGTGTGCTTGTTCTGATTGTCTTGAGCAACCAGTTCCTCATGCAGCTCTCTTCCAATCCCCTTTTCAAAGGCATGAGCAAGTTCTTCAGTTTTCCTACAACAATCAAGAAAAGAGTCAAAATGCTGTCACAAGTCACATTTCTTATGTTAACACTTGGTTTGGAAACAGAACATGACACTGCAATGTGTGTTTGTCCATACCTGAACTGGTCATCATTTAAAAGTGGTTTCTGGGCATTCAGGTATCTCGTAATTGTATCTTCTAGCTTGGGAACTGGCAGTCTGAAGGAAGTGGAACACAGAGAAATGCACTTGATGAGCAAGGGTGTGTTTCTTACACAGTCATCTCCCTTTGCCTCCTTTCTTCCATATCCTTCCTTATACTATTATATATACTATACATACAAAAATGTATACGCACTATACTGTATATACTGTTATATATAAATTTGGGTAATACTTATGCATGTTATTCAAATGCCTCATAAGTTTCTTGTGGAATAAGAGAAGCAAGGAACTAGATGGACACCAGTCAGCACCATAATACTCTTGGGAAATAAGGCAGAAAATCAAATTGACTGTCTTTTTACAAAGGTACTGCAGTGATGGGAGCTAATTCCTTACAAGAAATACAGCGACAGGAACCGCTGCTAGCTCTGTAGAAGGAACAGTTCTGTTGCCAGCCCTGTTCGGCCCCTCCCTCCCCTCACAGCTGGGTGCTGGACATCCCTTTCTCACAAATTTTCTATTCGGTATCTTTGTCAGCTTTCTCTGAGCCTGAGTTAAGTTTCCTATAGCACAACCCCGTTACACTCTCGGGGTTACTTTGGGCGCCAAGGGGATGTTTCAGTAGCAGGCTTGTAACCGCTTACAGCGACACTCGGAAAGCCGAACCCGCTCCCCTGCACACAGCGAGCCGCGCACCGCGGCGCCCAGGGAGGGCGGACGTTCCCTCTGCCCTCTCCTCACAGCGGACACCCGGGGCAGCCGCCTCCGCCCCCTGCCCGCGTCCCCTCGGAGCGGCGGCCCCGCCGTACCTGGGCAGGCTCTTCTGGTAGTGCATGGTGGGCACGATGCTGCGGTGCAGGAACTCGGCGGCGCCCGCGCCGCTGTAGCCGCGCCGCCCCGGAGCCGCCCTCAGCAGCTGCCGCGCCGCCATGATGGCGTCAGGCCCGCGCCCGGAGCCCCGCCCGCCGCGCTCGGAGCCCCGCCCGCCGCGCCCGGAGCCCCGCCCGCCGCGCCCGGAGCCCCGGGAACGAACGGGAAAAGCCAAGCGTTTTTCTGTTATTCCATTCCAAAAGTCAATTGGATACGTGCTGCTAAGGTAGCGAAGTTACCAGGGTGTTGGGGCCGTTCAGCATCAGTCCTCTTACTTACACTCTAATAAAACGTTCTGATTCGTTAATAAAATTTTCTGCAATCCTCTTTTTTTTTTTTTCTGCAATGCACTTCTTCTTGTTTTATGTTCACATACAGACTGCAAGTCTTTTTTCTTTTATTTCTCCCCACCCCACGTTTTTTTTTTTCCTGGGTGTGTGTATCCATATGTCCTACCGACTCCACAGGATTGAGATCCTGCCCCAAAAAAGAACAGTTTAATCTCTCCTGAGGTTTTTTTCACTCATACACGAGCATGCAACAACAAACACTTGATCACGGTATAAAATGTAATATTATAAACACACAACCTTCTTGTACTGTGGGGAATATTTTCCATAAAAACTTTGAATAATGTCAGAGTATACCAAAAACTACAGAAACGCTTTCATAAGAAAGCATGGCATGTGAATGGTTATGGTGGTGTATTTTTATCAGACACTCACTAGCATAAAAAGCAGCATTGGGATTGAATGCGGACACAGCAAAGGAAAGGAAAGCAATCCCTGTGGCTTAGTCTGATAATCCTCTGAAAGTAAATTGGCCCTACTCTAATCAACATAGTGGTTGGAAGAAAAGTGAAATCATTTCACTTCCAAGATAATAAATGCCCAGTGACAGAAGGTGTCCTTGCATGTTCCAGTCTGTGGCTATTTCCTGTTTGATGCGTGTCTCTCATGCTGCTCATTCAGCCTTTTTTTGGCAATGAAAACAAAAAAAACCCAAGCCTGCTTTAATTAATGAAGTCCAGTTTCACCTAGCTTGCCCTGCTGTGATAGTCCTGTTCAAAACGTCACCTGCTCTGCCCTTTGGGAAAACTCTGTGTGAATTCTCTGTGTGAATGCTGGCTTGCAGGGCTGCCTTTCTGGGTTTGGGTGTCCAGACCCCAAACTGGGAAGGCTGAGGAATGCATCTCCTTTCCCCAAAGAGCGTCACTTTGTTTTGAACTGGTCTTGTTTTAGAAATACTACTGCATTCTGTTCTAATTTTCCAGAGCCCCCTAATCTTCTTCCAGGCTCTTAATGATGTAGTTGATAATAGGATTGTTGGTATTAATTTGGAACAATAATGCCAGCTGCTTGCTTGGTGGCTATTGGCAGAGGGGTGACCTTGCGGGTCAGCTAAGCAGAACTGGAAGTGCTTTGATCTGATCTATACAGAGCCAGATCTGTGCACCCGAACAAGAGGAGCGAGTGAATTCTCTCCCCATGGGATGCTGATTCTTCTCCAAAGAGCAGGCAGGACAGCATGGCCGGGGCCCTGGATGCAATCCTCGCTCGGATCAAAGATGTTTGTAAAAGGAACGGGCTGCTCATCCTCTCCGTGCTGTCCGTCACCATCGGCTGCCTCCTGGGATTCTTCCTGAGGACCAGGCGCCTCTCCCAGCAGGTAAGAGCAGCTCACAGCAAGTCCCTGCAGAGGAAATGCCAGACTTACATAACAAAAGACATATGCACCTTGGGGAGCTTCAGGGTGGGCTTTGGAAGGTAAAAGTCACTTGTGTGTGTTCGTTAAAATTGTTTGATTTCATCTATTTGTCAATCTGTGCTGTCCTTTGGGTCTTTCCACACATTCTCAAACAATAGGTTAGCAAAGGATTCTGGTCTCTCAGACTCCTGGGAAGCGTAGCAGGAGCACAGCAGAATGTTGCAGGTATGGATAATAACAGTGGGCATTTAAGCTAGATGAAATGTAGCATTTCATAGAGGCCTGCAGAAACTGGTAGTGCAATATACTGCATTTTATACTATTTTGGAACACATACAGCTAAAGAAAACACTGGGAATATTTTTCAGCATCAGATGCACAGGGGTGCAGATGTTTATATTACACTAATGGTGTTTCATATTAATAAATATGGGATTTCCCATCATTAGCAGAACATGTTACTGAAGTCACTTGGGGAATTCTCCCCCAGCATACTTCAACTAAGCCCTTTGCAGGTGCTCATTTCTACTGTATCAGTCAGACAGACTAGACAGCAACATGCATTAATAAATGCACTGTTTGAGCACAAAATAGAAATCTCAGTTAAAAAATAAGGCATTTAGTAAATGCAACTAAATTAAATCAATTCTGGCCTCTGCTACTGCAAACCACTCTCTGTCTGAACATTGTTTGTGTCCAAGCCGTAGCTTCAAATACATTTAGGAAAACAGACAAAATGCAGAATGGAGAGATTATTCAGGGCAACTGGTTAACAGTAGTCTCCAAGAGATGGCACATTTCATTTTTGTCTTCCTTTGGACAGGAATGAGCAATGCAAATAATCTCTCCATTCTGAGAGTCTTGGAGACTGAGTAGTCTCCAAGAGATGGCACATTTCATTTTTGTCTTCCTTTGGACAGGAATGAGCAATGCAGTGTGTTTATTGAATACGAACACATTATGTAATCTAATTAATTTTAAAATTACCTTTTAAAGCCTGCTATCTTGTCTTTGCACCAAAGGTGCAGATTCTAGCAATGTTATCTGATCCACAGCTCTAGCAGCACTTGTGAGGACAGTCAGTCTTTAGCTCAAAACAATAAGCATCTCTCCATGTATTTCCAGGAAATTAGTTACTTCCAGTTTCCTGGTGAGTTACTGATGAGGATGCTGAAAATGCTGATTCTCCCTCTGGTTGTCTCAAGGTAAGAAAAGACAATTATTATTCCAGTAACTTTTGAAGTCCTAAATGAGATTTGTCATCACAATGGTTTAGTTGTGACTGAATTAGGTGACAGTGCCAGAGGCATCGGTGCTGCTGCACATTCATATTTATAGTGGAGCCATAAACATGCATTTAAGTTGATAGAATCATTTCTGCCATACATCATTTCTGCCTCATGTAGGTACTATTTCCTTTAAAATTAATGTGTTGGGGGTTTTTTGTTTTCTTTTTCCCCTGTAATGGGAGGACTTTTCCCTTCAAGATACTTAGAAGTTAAATACACAGAATAAATAACCCACCTTATCAAAAAGCCTGCCTTAAATCTAAACAATTAAAATAATACACTACACAAATATGATGAAAAGCACAGTTCATTTGTAGTGTCCTGCAGTATTCTGAGGTGTGCTGTATGTGTTTATAGTATGATAAATATTGAAAAAACCTTGTGTTTCCAGTGAACCAATAATATATAGCTGTCTTTGGCTGGAAGTGAAAGTGATTTCTTAGTTTGTTAAAGATAGAACCTTCAGTGGTGGCACTTTGTATCAGTAGCAGAATTAATGATCTCAGTGCTGGTTCTGACTGGTGCATGGCAGCTGCCTTTGCAGTGGGAGGGTGTAACTCAGGGCAGGCTTTCCCCTAAGTCTGACTGCCTTCCCACTGACTGCAGTCCCAAAAACACACCAGCTGGATGGCCAAAAACTCTCTCATGTGCCGAGGCTGAGAGCTTATTAAAGAGATGGAAAGTAACAAAGCTAACTTTACCAGAGCTAAGGAAAAATTACTGCAGTATTTGGTTCCAGTTCTGGAGCCTAATTCATACATCAAGACCTCATCTTCCACACTGAGAAAAAAACAAGTTTCAGATCACTGACAATTGCTGAAAATGAACATGATTAACAGCACTAATTTTATTTTTAAATCATCTCCCCTGACATCTGCCTTCTCATGGTTTTTCACAGAACAAAGCTGAGTCATGGTGCTTTGTGCATGAAACTGGTTTTACAACCACAGACTCACACCGGGTCCTGGCCCATGCATCTAGAGAATACCAACACAAAACATGTAAGGAGATATTTTTTTGAGAGGAGAAAGGAGATTCTTCCAAAGAAAACAAGAGTCTTACATGAGGAAGTGACATAGTAAGGAGGACAGAAAAGACCTGGAGCAGATTTACATGTCCTTGCCTAAAATGTGTAGTTCTTTAGATCCTCTAGTATATTTAGAGATGTTAGGAAGAGCAGCAGCAGTAGGAAAGAGCTGCTCTGGCACAACCTGTGATGTTGCCTGGAGATGTGACAGCTCTGAGCCTCACTGTCACAGCAGCTGCACTGTGTCCTCTGAGGTGGAGAGAAACTTTACAAACCTTCAAAGAGGTTCCATTATCCTTGCAAGTGTGAGTCCATCTCCCTGTATAACAAACCAGCAGTGCCTGCTAGTACAAATTGCAATGGCAGGGTTTGCAAGAAAAAAACACTCCAGATACAACAACATTCTTGTACAGTCTGGGCATTTTTGGCTGGTTGTCTTTTTTTTTTTTTAATAACAAGCACTGTGTTTTCCACACATATTTCATAAAATCAGTAAACCAGTACTGTATTTTTACCAATCTGCATGCACATTTATACTACATTTCTTTGTGGATTTGGAATATCCTCAGCCTGTTCTGCCAGAGCACTGGCATTTAAATTATCTTTTATATTACTCTCTATTATTGTTTACAAAAGCCAGGAGCACAGCACCATAAAAAAGAATTCTAAATATTGCTCTCCTAGTTGAAATTAATGCAAGTTTTTCTTTGAACACACAAGCAAAGAAATTGCTTGTAAAGAAAAGGAGAGGTGAGAAAGGAAGATTTAAAGAGAGACTTAGTGCAAACTATCCTGTTTCCAAGTCCAGAACTTATTTTGAAGGCTTTAAGCAGAAGTAAAAAGTGGCAACTGGATAGGTCAGAAGACTGACAATAGACTAGAAAATCTTGTATTTACAGACCACTAGCAGAAATCCAGCCTTAAACAGAAATATCTGAAAATTTGTATTCCCCCTCTTGACCTGATTGTTAGAGTTAAAACAGAACTTTGCAGATTGTATTCATTAGGAATGAGGAAATTACGATAGTCAGGTATCTCTGAATGATGTTTATTTTAAAAGTTCCTTGGATGCAGAGGAAATCTGTCAAACAACAGGAGACCATTTCTTCAAAGTACAGTTTCTTGATTTCCTGAACTTTGATCCTGCTCCTGGAACTGCTCTATCCCAGAGCTCCTGTACCTATTTCTGATGTCTCCTGTCATTTATGGTCTCACTTCTTTCTTTTCCCAGACAGAAAAATCTTGGAAAAGCAACCATTACCCATTAGCCTGTCAGTCTGAGCCCTGCATGAGCTTTTGTTTTTGTTGAGGCATGGACCTTCATGAAGGGTGGGGGTTGAAATTATTTCAGCTATCTAGATACATAAACAAGCTTCATAGCATCATAGAAAAACTCTGAAATAAGTATGTATTTATTGCACCCATGCTCTGCCTGGGATTTAGCCCTGCTCATACCTGTCAGTATCTGCTGTGTGTAGAGTTTGCTCTTCTTACCTGCAAGAACAGGTGAGACAACACAATACTTCTGTTGGCAAGATAATTACAAATATTTGACAGTTCATGTCTGCCCAAGGGATACTCAGTACTGGAACCTTACAAGGCCAAATTTTAGAGCCTGTAGTTACTAGATGCACGCTGCTTACTTTATGTGTAAACACAGGATACTGCTGATAGACCTGGGAATGGAAATATTAAAAGACCTCGGAGAGAATAGGAGCCAAATCTGATTTTTTAATTACACATTTAGACACTGTCCAAGCTCTTACTGCAGCCAGACAGAGAGATGTCCTCAACAAGCCTGAAAGATCAGCTGCAGAAGTTCTGAAGTTCCCTGATTCTCTCTGGGACAGAAGCTTTGATCCTCATTTGACAGGGACAATGCAAACAGTGTATTTTCCTCCTTATACGCAAAACGTTTCAGCCTTCAACAGATCTCAGGTTTTCCAGCAGACACGCGCACAGCTGCCCGTGCATCCTGCCCCGAAGCTCTGTGTATCAAACCCCTCAGGCAGATCCCGCTGCCCAGGTTTGTTAAACGCCCTTTCCTCGCCCCTCCGGCACTCCCGGCGCGGCCGGAGGCTCGGGCGGTGACACCCTGCAATGCACCCGGCGGCCAGCGGGCGGCTCTGCCGGGACACCGAGCACCCGCGCCTCGCTCCCCGCCCGTGTTCCCGCATCCCGGGGATTGCCGGTACCACTGCCCGGGCTCCCGCATCCCGGGGATTGCCGGTACCACTGCCCGTGTTCCCGCATCCCGGGGATTGCCGGTACCACTGCCCGTGTTCCCGCATCCCGGGGATTGCCGGTACCACTGCCCGGGCTCCCGCATCCCGGGGATTGCCGGTACCACGGTCCGGGCTCCCGCATCCCGGGGATTGCCGGTACCACTGCCCGTGTTCCCGCATCCCGGGGATTGCCGGTACCACTGCCCGTGTTCCCGCATCCCGGGGATTGCCGCTGCCACTCCCTATCCAGAAAATAATAAACCTTCCACTTTCTTTCACTGTGGTTAGTTATAAACTTCCTCAGGCACACACACAAATGGGATTCCTTCACCTGTTCCCAGGACAAGCTGATCGGAGCAGGGATACCTGTGCATCACCTGAGTTTCTCAACTTCTTAAATGCTCTAAGTAATCAATTCTGATGTCAATGGTTTTGTGCTCTGCATGACACAAAATACTGGGAAAGGAACAGAGACTCAACTTTCTCCTTAATATCTTCTCACCTTTGCTAAAGGCAATATAAACCCTCTAACCTGCTCCTGTCTGTGCCAGCTCCAGCACAGCCCCGGAGTGCTGGCAGGCACTGTGCCACAACTCGCACACTATCACCTTCCTTCAGAGCATTTTTGTGCCCATTCCCTGCCCCATCATCTTCAGCTCATGTTATCAGCTTTGTACTGATCAGTTCCCAGTGGGCCAAAAACTTGATTTTCAGTAAGCATGACTGCTTCGACTTAAGCTTTTTGTGGAGGCTGGTACTGAAACCTGATCTGTCACAAGTGCAAGTTTTGAAGAATATGATTGTACTGGAATAATACTGAATAATTCACCACTGCTGAGGCATTTCTAATGCTGGTGTTTGGCATGGATTCCTCCCAGCAGGCAGAGAACTCACACTGGCATTTTCCACAGAACAGAAATGCAGCTCTCCCTCTCTGTTCACAAGGCAGAGGTGCAGGTGAGCCCGCAGGGAAGGAGCAGATCTGGCTCCCAGCACTGCACTGCTGCCGCAGGCAGAGCCACCTCATGTCCTAAAACGAGCTGCAAAATGTGTGCTGCCCCCCGGGAGGAAGGCTGGAGGAGAGGCAGGGCGTGCAGACCCTGGTTCTTTCTCAAGTTCATTCCAGAAGCCCACACATTACTTCTCTCCTGTATATGTGAAGTTTGACAGCCCTTTCAGGAACATGACCCTCTCTGAATTAATGTCATTAGTAAGGGCTCTCACAGTGTTTGACTGCACAAGCCTTGGTCGTTCAGAAAAGCAGGCTAAAGGCAGAGTTACACAGGTTGGCACCAGCTGAACATACAGAGTTCCCTTTGTCCTGTGTGTCTGATTATGTATGTCAGAGAAAGTTGCATCCTTTATTCCAGCACTCTCCTTGTTTATATGATTAAGCTTTTGTCTGGAAAAAGATACAGGGCCAAGTTTTCTAGGACTGTGGTTAGCAGTCAGCAGTGAGAGTGGGAAAAGAATTGTCAGGTCAGACTCAAACTGTTTAGCTGTTGTAACAGCCTGGTTATATTCCCTTTGGAAAACACAGTTTAGTTTTTTAAGCTTAGGAAGATAATTGCATTTTTTATTTATTTACCACCAACCATTTTCTAGATGTTTAAGAAATATTCAGTAGCAGAGATTTGCTCCTTTTCCATGAGCAGATCCTGTTA